GGGCGTTGGATAGATTAGTGACCATGGCGGTCGCATTTTGATAGGGGTGATATATAAAAAGAACACCCGTGAACCAAGATATATAGAACACCAAGCGGTCACAATCTTGATATGCACACTACAGCGTCCCTCAAAATTATATCTTGTTTGGCACATGAAAGCCTAACAATTATCTATGTTGAACAGACACCTTCATTTTAGGCCGACACAGGAAATTAAGCGGGAAAATTGAAACTGTGTGTTAGGTGAACTAAACAATGAGTTAAAATCGAAGACATTTGATATTTCTGTAGCAAGGCATAAATTTCGATGTTACTTAGCCACGGCAGCCAGTGAGAAAAACGCTTACCGCGCTTATCGCTTATCGGCTGACTCTAGAAAGCTAAGCTTTGAGTAATCCGGTGCTTTGTTTTTAACAGGAACCCTGTGTTTTGCACAAATTAAGTTAAACAGAGGCATCTCGGCACCGATTGTTCACCGTGAGAGTATTTTGTATAACAGTTCAGAGGCGTAGGTGAACGTGGCCCCGCACAAGTCTTGTGGACAAAGCAGCTTTCCTTTACACGCAACTGTTTACAAAAAAAAAAAAAGCTACCTGCCTATCGTATCATTCACCACGTGGTGGTATCAGATGGAGTTTGGTGGTGGTGTCAGAAGAATGGGCGCATGGAAACTTTGTTAGTCCTGAAGTGCACGACTCAACGCTCAGCGGGCCAGATAAGAAAAGTTTACATATGGCGTATGCCGCTTAACACGCTCGTTATATTTCCGGCAAAACGCCGTTTAAACTCGTCTGCTTGGCCCTGGTTTCCACTGGTGGCTGTCTTTACTATCGATTAAATATAGCAGACATGCGCCATTGGGTTTATAAACGAGCCTGACAGCCCTAGACAGGAGAGCGAGAGCAAATTTTTGCTCGTTTTTCCGCTTGGATGCAACGCCACCTCCTCTTTCTACGTCCTCCTTTTCCTCTATATACGTCTTCCTTCTATTTATATATTGGTGCTCTTGAATACGCATCAGTATCGCTAGAACCCTTTGGTACCACCGAGACTGTCCATATAATTGCTATCGCAGTGAAAATCAAGAAAGAACACTTGCGCATCCCCAGCTGCGGGGGTGTTCATGAAGTTTCTATTTCATAAGTGTATCTTACCATTGGCTGGCAGCCTTCTATAATCATGTGCCTGGTCACCCGTGTCAGGATTAAGGGAAATTTCGCCTCACGAACAATTTTTGCTGAAGACGTTTTCGCGAATGCGGTCATGTAAAATACTCATCAAAACAGCAGAGAAGTAAACGAATCGGGCGCGTAATCAGGCTTGCGTCATCAGGCTTGCGTGCGCTTCCTTTCTTGAAAACTGGGCGCTGGCCACTTTTCTATTGAGAATGCAATGAAACTCTGATAATGGGCATGTCGATCACGAGCGGAATGTACCGGGCGCAGGGCGATAGCGCAAGGATAGAACGCAATATAGATGACGACTATTGTTGTGGGACAAAAAGACACCCTTTTTACTCGCTCTGTTTTTAGAGTGTAGGCTTTTTAGCAGCAATGTCAACAAGAACAGGGAAACTTCAGATGCTTCTGGTGCTGTCCCTTAAATGGATGGATGCTATGAGCGTCCCCATCATAATAGGCTGGGACATGTGCACCACCAGGCTCACCGAAAACAAAAAAAAAGAAAAAAAATGATTCACAGCCCAGCTCTCCACCCCTTTCGGCAGAATGACCTTATTTTTTCCACTGCTTAGATTTCGTCCTTTCTCTCTAGTTTTTTTTTTTTGCCACCAATACAATAACCGCAAGTGTGCTTGCAGCAGTTACCCATTGAGTGTTTAGAAAAGGCTCTCAAAGGTCGCTCTTCTAGCTTTCACTGTGACTGTGCTGGGCCTTCCGCGCAGGCCTGGCTTTTTTTGTTATCGCCAACGTGTTCAGGTTTACATTGCTATCCCCAAAATACATAGCTTCGTCTCCGCTTGTGCCAAAGCATATACCTCTGTTAATATCTACACATTCAGTCATCTTAACATACTCCGTCATTGCCTTAGCCTCTCTACAGCATGTCCATTATTCTTCTTTCCTGAATCTCACATCGTAAGTACGCGTTCTAAGGCCAGACCACTGCGCTTCAAAGAGCAAAGCGATCCCCCTCGAATTATCATAAAATGCTTAACTCCTTATTTCGTTTTGTCCTTTGTTTGATTACTAGGATCCCCCCCCCCCCCTTCTTTTTTTTTTTTCGCAGAGCGTCCAAGGCGTCACATAGCAGTCAGGAAGATATCAATACTCTTGCGAGGTTTCGAAAGTGCACGGCCTACCACGATTTTCTTTTTTTTTTTTGCCGTGTAGTGCTTCTTTATACACCGGCAATCACCAACTGACCGCACTTTAGTTTACGTACACCGGAAATACGTCTCAGCTCCTCATCGATGGCTACGTGCCTCCACATAGCACGTCGACCACGTCCGGAGTTCATCGGCGATGGTCTCTCTCCTGTCAGTGCTTCCTCTTGCAGCGCGAACGGCCAATGCCCCCCTTCCCCATCATCGCTCAGCAAACTGCCGAATGGTTCGTTCAAGAGTGGAGCGAATCTTTTGTTTGTACGCGAAGCAGACACCACGTCCTTTTGTCCTCTTTTGACCCGCGATTTCGGCACGCCGCGTGCTGTACGCAGCCAGGTTGTAGGCCGCCCGTCGCATCGTCGTCACTCTCTTCTCGGCTGCATCGGTGACAGTTTCCGGTAATCAGCGGCAGCCGAGACGTGGGAAGCCTCGGGAAAGGGAAAGCGCGCCGATGCCGCCGCCTGTCTCAAAAATCATTCATCCAGGCCGCAGGCTGTCTCCTGCGGGGCGCCTAACCTGGCCACGGGAAGACAAAAGGACGCTCCCCGTGGCGGTGACGCTGCGCAACGCTTTACCCCCTTCGGTTGTTTCCCACGGCGAATCCTCGTGAGGTCTTTGCCTTTCGGGCCACCATGACACACCTCGAGAACGGGGAAGCGTATCACGGGGCCAAGTGGGTGACGGCGACTCCTCCGGTTGTTGTGTGAGCGCGTGTTCGTTGTTTCTGTTTGAATGGTCCCCTCCAATCTTCGAGAAATTAAACTTGCCGCCGCGTTCACTCATTGCTCGAAAGGCTGTCCATGTGTTCTCGGGCTTGTGGGGTGTACATTCTTCCGCGTTGCATGCATGTAGAGCTGCGGCAGCGATAAGTTCAAAATATTACTTGTTCGGCAAGTTTGTATGCAGAAAGGGAAAAAAGCCTTTTCTACGTCACTCTCTCTACCTCTATTTCTCAAGTGATTTCAATTTTCAACGTTTCAGTGGCTTTCTACGAGTTTAGGAATGTGGCAGAGAGGCACATGATCCACATCTCTGTGCTTGAGCTAGGCATTTCCTCTGCAGACGTAGCGGAGTACTAGCGACGCAACACCATTTTTGAAGTTGGATCTTACTGTCGCCCAAACAGTCATGGTTAAGTGGAATCGATTCGCCGATGTCTATTACTGTGCACCATCGGTACATGAACCCCAGTGAGATCCGTTAACTCATCCAGCCGTTTCCGATTGGCCTGAAGCAAAGAATGTTATTACCACCTGGAATTAAAAAAAAAAGTACCTGTTTGATCAGACCGCGCGAAGGGGGACCTGCGTAGCATACAAGCACAGAGTTCATTGTTCATTTCTCTAGTTACTTTACACCAAAAATAAATATTGTTTACCTGATCATAAACACCACTTTGCAGTTCGCACCTTTACTTTTCATTCTGAATTACCACATCACCAGGCGGAGTTTGAAATGCACAACCCAATCTCTTTTTGGTTGCCACTGATGATGCCGCAGTACACCAGGCTAAAGGTATCCATTAGCCCTGGCATTTCCGAAAATCGAATTATTGTACGCTTGCCGTAAGGCACCGCACACATCTAACTTCATATCGCACCATAATGTCTGCTTATCACCTTCGCTGGAATGATTGCAATTATAGCAGTTGTCCACAGACGCGGAGACAGGATCTGAAAAAGAAAATACGCATAGCTTTGTTCATAATTCTCTAACAGACATAGACAATTCGTCCAATGATCTGCCAGTTAGTTACCAAATAGACTGGTTTTGTCACGTAACTAGAACCAAGAATTACAAAAAAAAAGTTTACCGCCCCTGAATGAAATCGATAAAGTATGGTTTACTGCCATATGGCGCTTGGTGTGACATTTCTTACATTTACCTTGATTACTTAATAACGAAGATCAAATTTTGTATATCTTAACTTAGACCGATTTCTGTTTCATTACGTAGTTTAAGGTTTTTCGAAACTACCGATCCAATTTTTCGTGACTGCAGGCATCCGCGTGGTCGGGTTTTTTTCCAGCGTTTGAAGAAAGTCCGCGAAATATGCAATCAAACCAAATCACGTAACTGCGCTCATGCGCCATATTCGAGAGATCTTAACCGTGCTTCGAGCGAAGAACCAGGCGCGCTGACCGACGGCACTACCTCGTCGTGTGCCACCATCAGAGATGCTGCTGATTGATGCCCAGACCAGCAGCCGCTCATTTCACCATGGTCTGCCTTATAGACGAAATATTGCGTTTTCCGAAGTGTGCTTGCGTTATTTTCCATGTGAATTGCGCGTGTCATCAAAGCGTCCCATTACGATCAATGAGTAGCTGCAACAGTAATGAAAATCACGTCGGAAAAAATATAAACGATCAAGCAATGCAGCGATGCATTACAAACATAACAGGTGACACTCATAATAGAACGTGCCGACGACTTGTGAGAGAAATTAACAAAGGCCTAGCAATGGGTCTTTCGAGTTCGTCGCCCAGGATGAAATGCATACGATGCGCAATTATTTGGAGGCGAGGGACTGTTCCGATGATTGAGGGGAAAGAAAACTGCGGGTGGCGCTGAATGAATGGTGAGCTGCACGTAATATAGTAGATGCGGCGTCTTTATTCGTTGCGTCCAGTTGATCGGTATTCTCTGTGCAGGTCTCCCGCTGGCCTCACCTCCCGTCTCGCGCACGTGGTCCGGTGGGCGGCAGCATCGACGGCCGCGCTCGCTGGCTCGTAATCTCCCCAGAGGTGCTAATGGCATTAGCCGTTCGCAGAAGGCGTCGTCGGCGGCGACCCCGTGCACGGGCCGTGATTTAGATGCGCCCCGCCCCGCTGGCCTTCCGGCTTCGATTGACAGCTTTACAGTGGCTCGTCACCAGCGGGACCCCGAGGTAAGCGAGCGCGGGAAGGGGGCACTTTTCTTTTTCTGCCTCCACGCCTGTTCCCTGTGCCTGTAAAGGCCGCGAAACCCCGTTTTGCACACACTTGGCTTCCTTGTGGCATAAATTGTGCACTTTATGTTTCCCGAGAGCGAGAAGCGAAATTGAGGCGGCCGCGAGAATCGAGAGCGTACTCGAAACGGAAGTTCTTTGGGTCGTATAGCCGCGAAAACCGCGTCGTGCACCATCGTATAGGCTGAGTGCGAGTGCAGGCGGGCAGCGATGAGAGATATGGCGCGTTTTGTCAACGCAGTTCGAACATCCGGTGCAGTGTAGCCGGCGTCGTCCATCGTCGTCCAGCGCGTGATGCGCAGCATACTGACGCAGTTCATAGGGTGAGGCAGTGGCAAGAAGACGTGACTATATCGGCTTTGTAAGTTTTATCGGACGAATACGAAAATAAGTGTAGTTACTACAGACCCACAGTAACACGTCATTGCAGTGGTCACGCAATAATATACAAATTCTAAACAACTATGATAAGTGCACGTGGTCTGACTGCCTGCCTGACGCGCGTGAATTTATTTCTTTAAGGTGCACTGCAGTGTCGCCCTTAAGTCGCAATAAAACTGTTCTTTTGTGTGACTGTTCCCCATAAATGAAATGCCGTGCAGTACGAAGCGGTGCCTCACGCCGTGGTCCACGTGAACAGCCGGTACTTCAAACTGCGGGGCTGATTCACCTAACTGTAAAATGATTGATTGATTTGATTGATATGTGGAGTTTAACGTCTCAAAACCGCCATATGATTACGAGGGACGCCGTAGTGGAGGGCTCCGAAAATTTCGGCCACCTGCAGTTCTTTAACGTGCACCCAAATCTGCACGGTCACGCAGCATTTTCGCCTCCATCGAAAATGCAGCCGCCGCCGCCGGGATTCAATCCCATGACCTGCGGGTCAGCAGTCAAGTTCCTTAGCCACTAGACCACTGCGTTCGGGCGAACTGCGAAATGTCATCAGACACTTTTCAGCGGCTGCCAAGTGACTGCGGAATTATTGAAAATGAACGTACCAGTTTAAATTAATTTCAGTTATACTGAGGTCAGTTACTATCAACACCACCGACAGAAAAGTTTCGCATGCTTGAATGTTACTACACTGCATGCAAATTGAAATCATCTCATGTGAAGCACACTTAAATTTTTTTGGCTCCTCTTTGGGGAAGCCTTTCCCCGAAGAGGTGCCACCGTTATATATATGCTATATAAGCGGGTTTTGGATCTACCAACGTATACGTTCTGCATAAGCGATGACCAAAGTTGCAGCCTTTGATCATTGTGACGATGAGACTACTAACCTCAGGTGCTGAACTCCGTTTCCAACGCGCTCATCTAGTTGGACGACCATCCTCTGTCAGAGCATTGAATTCTATAGAATTTACAGGACTTATAATAGGGCTGTCTACTGCTAAAAAAATTTTTTTCTCATTGTGCCGAAAATGAGAAGCTCAGTCATCACGTCGGCGGTTAACAAGTATACGTTTGTTTTTACTATATAAATATAATTTTAATATGATGTTGAAAGTCAACAAAAAGTGACCACTACGTCGCTCAACCGCAATGTGGTTGAGTACACTGACAGGACAAATATCCACGCAGGCAGATTCATTTTGCTTACAAACGAACATGTATAACTTGAAATTCCATTTTACGCACTTGAGGCAGGTTTGAACTGCGCCAGAGAGTATTTTTTTTTTGCATTTTTTTTCTCACGCATTCAAAGAGGCGCCCGGTGGCGCTGCCGTTGGTGTGTTCGCTTGCTTGCATGCACAGAGTTTCCTAAGTATACACTAGAGAGAACTCTGGAGCTAGTGTCTATGGGAGCTGCGACGCATGGCGCTTCAGCGAGCATGGGAGTTCTGGGTATGACATGGATTTGCCTAGTCTTCGTACTTCACGTTCGTTCTTGTTTCGCGCGGCTTGAAGCTGCTTTGTCACGAAAAAACTAATCGGCAAATGTCCGGCAGTTACGCTTCACCACCTTAATCTTCTAGGCTTACCACATTAAATCGGGTCCAACAAGTGAAAAACATTTTGTTCTTTTCTTCGCAACGAAACCATGCAAAAAACAGCAATAAATGAAGCCACGGGTGCGATTCGCTGCCCGCAAGCACGAAGACAAGGCAAATCTATTGTCATACTTATAATTCTCATGGTCACAGAATGATCTCAGCGCTAGTGTTCTCTCTAGTTAATTTTAGGAAACTCTATTCTTGCATGCCTGCTTGCAAACGGCGGCAGAACGCGAGCCCTGCGTCCGCCGCCACTCATAAGAACAACAAAAATGTCTGCGGGCTTTACACGACCACTAAGGTATTGGTTTTATTTTATTATTTAACGAAACTTGATTAAGCGTGTGAAAACCGCACGTGGTTTCAGATTTCAACATTCACCGGTAGTACAATCGTCATCCTCTCTATCGACCATTGTTGTGGGCATTCATCACACCGATGGAAGGAAACCGAACACAGGTCGAAAAATTCTGTTTTAAAATTTAGTACACAGATTCCCAGAAACCGCTGCAATATCCATGGACACTTCAGATGGTACGCTTTTTATTGCTACACGAAAAGCAGAAAAGCAATGAAGGTCTGTAGACAGATCCTTTAACGTTTTTCAAGATGGTGCGCTTCTCTCTGTTCATCAGCCTTTATGAACGTGCCTAATTGGACCATATATCCTGTTTGTTTTCCTTTTTGTTTTCAATTCTTTCTCCCTTTAGCAAAACCACGGCACTCACGTCTGGTCAGGTTCCCTACATTTCCACTTTCTCTTCATATACGATACAGTGTAACCATTAGAGCAGTTAGATCCATGGAATCAATTCTTCACTAAGAACTTACAAACCAATTTGTACTTTTTTCCAATTAAGAAGCGAAAACGAGCGATGGAAACCACTCCAAGGCCATCGCAACAATACTCGTGAAGAAAATTTCGACTCAAAGTTTGTTCCCGTCAAATACTGTAGTCTGTGCCAGACAAAGCTATTGCGAATCACTGTGCTTTCCGAAAAATGACATTTTGCAACTTTTTGCGTCTTCCCGAGTCCCTTGGAATGTGCGACTTGTTACGGGCCACCCTATGTTTGGGACATCACTGCCTACATCGTCCAACGTTGCCACCATTCACCGCTCTTCTCCTCGCTGTCAAGCTCTGAAAATGTGGCAGATGGTCGTGTCGTTGCAGGCGTTGCTCGTTTCTCCTTTCTGGCGATAGCGCCTCGTGCTTATATTACTGTCGCGTATAGGTAATCCACACCAGACAGAAGTTCAGGAGTAGATCGAAAGTGAAGAGATGAAAAAAAAAAAAAATTCTCGGACACGGGGTGTGCCAACGCTTCGACAATCGCTCTGGTCTTCTTCAAGTCAAGACCACTTGGAAGAGCCTTAGGCCCGTATTCACAAACCAACCTCGGCCTTACCTCGAGTTTTGCTGAAGTTTCTATACCCTCTAAATGTGGCGATAATGGTGCAAGCATGTTAACGAGGTAAAATATTACTACGATATTGGTTCATGAATACTGACCTACTTTGTACATGAAGCGCAATAAAGGCTTACGACCGACAAGAAGAACTCTAGGTAAGGATGAGGATGTTTTGTGTGTACGGGAACCCTCCACCTCACAGATGAAGGACACTTGTCTAAACATACCCGGTGTTCAAGAGTATAATGTAGGTAGTGAGGTCAGTTAACATTACCTGAAGTAGGTGTCCAGACGAAGTACCGGTTTTTTTAAGCCTTCTTTTTTGGCGTGTATTGACGACCTCCAATTCACGCCATTTCATGTCGGTGCCTTTTTTAAAGTGGAAGAATTCGCATTTAGCTTCATTTTTTTACACATGAGCACCCTTTTAACGTTTTAAGAAGCAAATTGTCCTCCCTTCTTCGGGTCTTGACAGCCGCAGTGCAAAATACTGGCCACTCATCGAGCGCTTCCGCGTTTGAGATGTAACACAAGGGAAGGAGCCAGAGCGAGAACGCGCGAGAAGACGTGCGCGGACAGGTTGCGTGCTATAGGATCATAAACTCATCGTTTACCGCCTCAAGGACGTCGGCAACGAAGTGCATAGTATAAGTGCTCGAGGAACTTCTAGGAGAACCAGGAGACGAAGGAGCTCTCGTTTTGTTGGAGGTGGGAAATTCTTGGCTCAGTGCATCGGGGAGTCATTTGGTAGCAAATTTTAAAATGTAACATTCATTTTTCTTCCGATCTGTTGCACCAATGAAGCTTATGGGGCGCCAATGACGAGGAACAAGACGAATAAAAAATGAACGAATAATCGCCCAGTATAAGCTTATAGTACGTGAAACTATATACTAACCCTGTGTGCAGGTTTCGTGTATCGCTTTGAGCCCCAGTATGACCCGAACTTAAGCAAAAGAGAAAAGTGGTGTATAGAAGTTGGCCATAACGGGCGTAATGTCAGTCAAGGCAGCTGAAAAAGTACAGGTGTTCGTTGCAAACGGGAAAGCTCTGGGACTGTATACATCGACTCAGGGAATCGGTTGACTTCACTCATATGTAACAGTTGAGTGTTTTATTAGGTGTTTGTGTATGTACGAGCCTTAAGAGTTCTTCTGACCTGTAGAGAAGCTTAATAATAATAATAATAATAATAATAATAATAATAATAATAATAATAATAATATCTCGGGTTTTACGTCCCAAAACCACCATATGATCATGAGAGACACCGTAGAAGAGGGCTCCGGAAATTTCGACATTCCGGTTTAACGTGGACTGACATATATCCCACCGTTCACGGGCCTCTTCGCTTCCATCGAAATGCGACCGCTGGGATCGAACCCGCAACCTTCGGGTCAGCAGCCGAGCACCCTTTAGCCACTGATCCACCGAGGCGGACGCGTGTAGAAAAAGCTGGATATGGATATACAGCATTTAACGTCAACCCAGCGATCTTGTATACTATCAACAGCAAACGTTGGATCCA